TGACAGTCATCCAGTTCCCCCCCACTGTCAGAATGCCTGCCGCAGTCCTGGCGAAGTCGCTGATTGCCGCCATTACTAGTATAAAAAAAAAAAAAAAATTCCAGTATATATAACGCCATTTGTAGACGCTAAAAATGTCACGTAAACCAATTAATTTACACGTATTTGGATTTTTTTTAGCAAAGACATGTAGCAGAATACATTTTGGCCTAAATTTATGAACAAATTTGATTTTTTTGTTAGTGGATGTGTTTTATAGCAAAAAGTCAAAAATATTTTTAAAATCTTTCAAAATTGCCGGTCTTTTTTTGTTTATAGCACAAACAAAACACGCAGAAATGATCAAATACCACCAAAAGAAAGCTCTATTTGTGAGAAAAGAGGACATAAATTTAAATTCAGTTAAAGTAATGCTGCGCGGTATCACAAACAATGGCCTGGTCAGGAAAGGGGGGGGGGGGGTAAATCCTCTGAAGGGCAAGTGGTTAAAAAAACAAATTAAAAAAGAAGCAAAAAGTGCCATATCCAGCCCCTGGGCCACAGTTTGGAGACCACTGCCCCAACAATGCGCTCCACCTATAGTCATTGTCAGGTCTACAGTGAAGGTGCAAACATTTTGTCCCACACATTGTGACAAATTGGAGAACAAAAAACATTTCAGGATTATAATGAATGTAATCTAATGTAACTGATGATACCTCTATTGCTACAATGACATGTAAGAATAATCTATTGTGGACTCACACGCAGGCCTAGGTCAGATGGAAGAGAGCTTATTGTCCTCTATTGCTGTTCTAGAAGTGATAGTCTATTCTAGGATTTCAGTTAGACTGCTTTCACAATGATGCGGTGAGGTCTGACCGCACTGTGGGAGCAGCGAAGTGTACCTGAAGGTTTGATGTGGGTTAGCTGCGCTTTTTCATTGACTTCTGTTATGTTCCATGATTTTGGTGTACTTTCTGAAAGCGCACCAAATGTTTGTTGCACTTTCAGAAAGCGTACCAAAAGCACAGGGCATAATAGAAATCAATGGGTAAGCACAGCTAATTTACATGAAGCCAGCAGGTACACTACACTGCTCCCGTAGGGCGGTCAAACCTCACCGCATCAGTGTGAAAGCAGTCTTCCATTCATGCTGCATTCACACCTGGGTATTCTGAAAAAACATGCATTTTTAGAAAAGCGGCAAAATGCTTCAAGCACTTGCGGTGGGCATTATTTCTTCATGGCACCCAAACACAGTGTGACTTGGACACGTTTGTCACATGAAAAAACAAATAAAAAACATGCTACAGCACACATCGCCAAAATTTAATCCATGAGCTTCTTTTATTTATTTATTTATTTTAGGTACTTATATAGCGCTGTCCATTTACGCAGCACTTTACACATATATATATTGTACATTCACATCAGTCCCTAACCCTCGAGGGGCGTACAATCTAAGGTCCCTAACTCACATTCATACATACACATACTAGGTACAATTTAGACAGGAGCCAATTAACCTACCAGCATGTCTTGGCAGGTTTTCCGCACAGCAGGCAGCCCATTCAGGTCAATAGGCTGTCTCCCCAAAAACTCGCTTAGTCATGCTGAACACAGAGCGATCACATCTTGACACATTGTATGCACAAATGTACATGTGATTTTTGCATGTTTTCAGGCTTGAACATTTTTGTTTTAGCCAATGGAAAAATAGTTACTAAGATGAGGGGCTTTTTCTGAGCATTGAGCAACAGCACATCACTTAAAGTGATTATAAGAGATCGATTTTAAAAACAAAATAATAAACATGTCATACTTACCTGCTCTGTGCACTGTTTTTGCATAGAGCAGCCTCCTCTTCTGGGGTCCCCCGCTGATACTTCTGGCTACTCCTGCCTTTTGAGTGCTCCCATAGTAAGCCTCATGCTTTGGGGGCACTCATGCAGGCTTGATCCCAAGCCAGGATGTGTGAGTCTATTGACACACAGGGGTAGATTGGACTGTCTTAACTACTTTGCTACTATAAATTCAGCAAAGTAAAGCCGTTGAAGATTGTGTTTTGATTGTGCCTGGAGGCAGAATCACACAAAGACCTCTCCATGCCTTGGTCTGGTCTTATAGTATTGTGAAGACACATAAAAATGGGATAGACCAAAAGGAAGGGACATTCAAGTCTGAGTCTCTTCTGGGGCCCCCCACTGATGCTCTCAGCTCCTCCTCTTCTCTCTGTGCCCTATAGAAAGCCACTTCCTATGGGGGAATATGTGCAGACAGACAGGTACCATGCTACCACTTGGAGAACTAGGCAGCCACCTAGGGCACAGCCACGGCCGCTATAGAAGTCCTCACAGCACATGTACACTGACATGCTCTCACTTCCCCGCAGCCACATAAACAGGAAGATGATCCCCGTCCTCGTTGCTGCTATTCACTGTTAAGCCCAACTGACCAATCACATGTACTGATGTCAGTAGTGGGCGGGCCACAGTTACCTTTCACCCCCGGAGAGCCATACGGCATGGATGGCCGGGGCTCAGCCCATGCAGTGTCTTCATCCCCCATGGAGGAGGGAGCAGGGTCCAGTGTGCTTGGCCTGACCTTCTCTTCCAGTCATGGAGTCGGTATGCATGGCAGTGTGGAGGTGCTGTGCCGGTCACTGGAGGAATTGTATGGTGGCAGTGCAGACTACAGCGAAGGTGACCCGGGTCATGTGTGTCTGGGGTTCCCCTTCCTCTCCTCTTCCCCAGGCACATGGATTACACCATCATCACCATAGGGGGTCACTTGACACCACTTCCAGCATAGGGGGTCATCTGACACCACCTCCACCACAGGGGGTCACCTGACACCACCTTCACCATAGGGGGTCACCTGACACCACCTCCACCACAGGGGGTCACCTGACATCACCTTCACCATAGGGGTCACCTGACACTACATTCACCATAGTGGGTCACTTGACACCACCATCATAGAGGGGTCCAGACACCATGACTGGTAGGCCTGAAGGAAGTAGTAGGAGGAGAAGGGAATGCAATTTTGGGGGTGGGGGAGGGGTGTGCAAGTAGCTGATCTTGCCTAGGGCACAAAATAGTCTAGCACCGGCCCTGCAAACGCAATCTTGAGCCAGGCCGTATGGGTCCATAGACACACACAACACGGCTCGGCCCTCCTCACAGGATTTGACTGACAGCAGCAGGAGCCAATGGCTCTCGCTGTTCTCAGCCAAGCTTGTGAGAGCAGGGGAAAGAAGAACTGCACAGATGGGACCGCGCTGGATCCATAGAGGACTCGATAAAGGTAAGTATTTAGGAAGGGGAGGGGGAGGAACAGCAAATGAAAGGTTTTTCACTTTACTGCATAAAATGCATTAAGGTAAAAAAAAACTTTTTGACTTTAGAACCAACATTTTTTTTAGTTTTTGGAACAGCGAAGAGGGTTTAGAACCCTTGTCAGTTTGTATTGTTGTCTGTGTCCCTATTAGGGAGATTCGCCCTCTATTTGGCCTACTTACCATTGTCATGGAAAGTGTAAATAAAGGAAAATCCTAAATTTTATGTTTAGCCCAGAACAGTTATAGAGGGAAAATCTTCCAATAGGGACACTAATTCTGGTGACCCTGGTGACATCCTGGGATTCCCTCAATTCCTGTTTTGGCTACGGGACAGGAAGTGAAGGGAAATCTCCCCAATGGGAGACAGATGGCAAAAAAACTGACAGGGGTGTTAACCCTTCCTTACTCTATCCAAAAGAACAAATAAGTTTTGCCTTTAGTTACATTTTAGCTGTCCTTTCTTTTATAAGGTGTTTTAAAAAAAGAATTAACTTATCAGCTTTCCTTAGTATGGAGAACACCTTATTACAGAAAATAAAAACTGAACTCAGAGAAACGTAAAGTCCTTCAGGTGCAGCCCCACTGCAAGGATTACCTTCCTATTTATGGATAGGGGACCAGGTAAAACAGTTTTACTTACCCATAGGCTCCTCTGCTCTGCTAGACCGGTCCATGCAGCCTCTTCTTCCCTGTGCGCTAGTGGTCGGATGCCCCTGACATCATCAAGGCCAATGCAAGGACCACAGCACTGCATTGGACATGAGGATGCTGAGAGACAGTCCACTGCCAAAGTGTATGGAATGACCATTTGCTGGGAGTGTGGAGGATAAAGTAGGTAAAACTGCTTTTACTATCCCCTAGACCAGTGGTTCTCAACCTTTCTAGCGCCGCGACCCCTTAATACAGTTCCTCATGCTGTGGTGACCCCCAACCATAAAATTATTTTCGTTGCTACTTCATAACTGTAATTTTGCAGTAGGAGGAATAGTGCCACGTCATTGGTGTCATTGGGAGGAATAGTGCCCCATCATTGGTATCAGTGGGAGGAATAGTGCCCCGTCATTGGTGTCAGTGGGAGGAATAGTGCTCCATCATTGGTGTCAGTGGGAGGAATAGTGCCCCATCATCGGTGTCAGTGGGAGGAATAGTGCCCCATCATCAGTGTCAGTGGGAGGAATAGTGCCTCATCATCGGTATCAGTGGGAGGAATATTGTCCCATCATCGGTATCAGTGGGAGGAGGAATAGTGCCCCATCATAGGTGTCAGTGGGAGGAGGAATAGTGCCCCATCATAGGTGTCAGTGGGAGGAGGAATAGTGCCCCATCATTGGTGTCAGTGGGGGGAGGAATAGTGCCCCATCATTGGTGTCAGTGGGGGGAATAGTGCCCCATCATAGGTGTCAGTGGGAGGAATAGTGCCTCATCATTGGTATCAGTGGGAGGAATAGTGCCCCATCATTGGTATCAGTGGGAGGAATAGTGCCCCATCATTGGTATCAGTGGGAGGAATAGTGCCCCATCATTGGTGTCAGTGGGAGGAATAGTGCCCCGTCATTGGTATCAGTGGGAGGAGGAATAGTGCCCCGTCATTGGTATCAGTGGGAGGAATAGTGCCCCGTCATTGGTATCAGTGGGAGGAATAGTGCCCCGTCATTGGTGTCAGTGGGAGGAATAGTGCCTCGTCATCGGTGTCAGTGGGAGGAATAGTGCCTCGTCATCGGTATCAGTGTGAGGAATAGTGCCCCGTCATCAGTATCAGTGGGAGGAATAGTGCCCCATCATCGGTGTCAGTGGGAGGAATAGTGCCCCATCATCGGTATCAGTGGGAGGAATAGTGCCCCTTCATCGGTATCAGTGGGAGGAATAGTGCCCCATCATCGGTGTCAGTGGGAGGAATAGTGCCCCATCATCGGTGTCAGTGGGAGGAATAGTGCCTCATCATTGGTATCAGTGGGAGGAATAGTGCCCCATCATTGGTATCAGTGGGAGGAATAGTGCCCCATCATTGGTATCAGTGGGAGGAATAGTGCCCCATCATTGGTATCAGTGGGAGGAATAGTGCCCCATCATTGGTGTCAGTGGGAGGAGGAATAGTGCCCCATCATTGGTGTCAGTGGGGGGAGGAATAGTGCCCCATCATAGGTGTCAGTGGGGGGAATAGTGCCCCATCATTGGTGTCAGTGGGGGAATAGTGCCCCATCATTGGTGTCAGTGGGGGAATAGTGCCCCATCCTTGGTGTCAGTGGGGGAGGAATAGTGCCCCATCCTTGGTGTCAGTGGGGGGAGGAATAGTGCCCCATCCTTGGTGTCAGTGGGGGGAGGAATAGTGCCCCATCCTTGGTGTCAGTGGGGGGAGGAATAGTGCCCCATCCTTGGTGTCAGTGGGGGGAGGAATAGTGCCCCATCCTTGGTGTCAGTGGGGGGAGGAATAGTGCCCCATCCTTGGTGTCAGTGGGGGGAGGAATCATGCCCCATCCTTGGTGTCAGTGGGGGAGGAATAGTGCCCCATCGTTGGTGTCATTTGGGGGAGGAATAGTGCCCCATCGTTGGTGTCAGTGGGAGGAATAGTGCCCCATCGTTGGTGTCAGTGGGAGGAATAGTGTCCCATCGTTGGTGTCAGTGGGAGGAATAGTGCCCCATCATTGGTATTAGTGACACCAATGATGGGGCACTATTCCCACTGACACCAATGATACTTACCTTGCAGACCCCTGCTCCAGCCTGGGCTCGCTCGCTCCCTCCCTCTCCCATGGTACCGACACTTACCTGTCAGATGTCTTCCTTCTCCGGCCGCTCTCCTCCTCTTCACTCGCTCGATCTTCGCGGTGCCGCTCGGCTCCTCCTCTCCAAGCTCCACCTCCTTGCCGGTGATTGGCCGCCTGTGTGCCTCTCCTGAGCTACAGTGCCGGCGGCCAATCACAGGCGAGGATTGATCTCGAGGTGTGTCCAGATGACAGGGGTGGCATGTCATCCCGCCCACATCTGGAGACGGCGGTGGCGGCGAGGAGCGGTGTCTCGGTTCCTAAGACCATCGGAAATATGTGGAAGCGTCGTTCGACCCCCAGGTTGAGAACCGCTGCCCTAGACAAAAACAAGCCCCACTGCAAAGGAGAACATTTACTTTTCCTGAAGTTGGGCTTTAAAATGTAACCAGTTTGGGTCAGTAGGTGTAAGATTTTCTGAAATGCAGTGTGCATGCCATCCATAAGTACACAACGGGAGGCAGTATTTTCAGTAACCATATATGAAACTAAACAGATATCACCAAGGTTCTTGTAGTAGAACTCTTTAATTTTGGTTGGAAGCGTTGAAAACTTTGAAAGGCTTTTTATGTGTCACCATTGGAGGGGTTTCCTCTCACGTCCTGTCCCAAAGACACCACAGGAAGTACAAGGTGTTCATGCTAGTGAATGGAAATCCTGCTGTTGACAGTTGTGATTGATGTCCGTAGTGTAATATATTCCATGTGGTTTAATGTTGATAAATGTAAGGCTCTGCACTTGAGGGGCTAAGAATATGCATGCATCATACATACTGGGGGGGGGGGGGGGGTAAACTGGGGGAATCAATGGTGGAGAAGGATCTGAGAGTTCTGGTAGATCACAAGCTTAAAGCAGAGCTCCACCCAAAAGGGGAAGTTCCGCTTTAAGGACTACTCCCCCGCTCCCCATTAAGGATTGGCACCTTTGGGGGGGGGCGGGGGGGAGCGGGCACCCGAATTTGACAGGTACCCACTCCCACTTCCGGTCTAATCACCTAGGCGATTGGAAGTGGAAGGTGTCCTCCCTGTAGTCTTTTGGGACACGTGACAGGTCCCAGAAGACTACAGGGCCATCCATGAAGCGCAGCGCTACTCGCGCATGTGCAGTGGGTACCCGGCTGTGAAGCCGCAAGCTGCAGTTTCTAAAGCGAACAAAATCCTATCTTGTATGAAAAGAGGTATAGACTCCAGAGTAGTAAGACCTCATCTGGAATATGCAGTTCAGTTTTGGGCACCAATTCACAAAAAGAACATTGGGGAACTGGAGAAAGTACAGAGAAGGGCAAACAAACTGATACGAGGCATGGAGGAGATCAGCTATGAGGAAAGATTAGAGGAACTGAATTTATTCTCTCTTGAGAAGAGGAGATTAAGGGGGGATATGATCAACATGTATAAATACATCAGTGGTTCATATAGTGAACTCGGTGTAGAATTATTCACCCTGAGGTCATCACAGAGAACAAGGGGGGACTCTTTGGGGTTTCTTTACTAAAGCTGGAGAGTGCAAAATCAGACTCCCTTCTGCATAGAAACCAATCAGCTTCTAACCTTAGCTTGTTCAATGAAGCTTTGGCAATGAAACCTGGAAGCTGATTGGTTTCTATGCAGAAGGGAGTCTGATTTTGCACTCTCCAGCTTTGATAAATAAACCCCTTTATGTCTGGAGGAAAAGAAATTTATTCTCCAAACACGGAAAGGTTTCTTTACAGTGAGAGCTGTGAAAATGTGGAATAGACTCCCTCAAGAGTTGGTTCTGGCCAGCTCAGTGGATGGCTTTAAAAAGTCCTGGATTCTTTCTTGGATACACAGAATATAACTGGATACTAACATTTATAGGTAAAGGTGATCCAGGGAATATCAGATTGCCTCTCGGGGGATCGGGAAGGAATGTTTTTCCCATGCAGGAGCAAATTGGGTCATGCTTTGCTGGGGGGGGGGGGGGGGGGTTTGCCTTCCTCTGGATCAACTGTGGGTATAGGATTATAACTTTTTTTTTTTTAATGGTTGAACTAGATGGACTTTGTCTTTTTTCAGCCAGACTAACTATATAACAGCAGTAAAAGCTGGGAGAGGTTTGCTTGCTCTGTACCTCCTCCTTTCATAAAAAAACCTTGTGTTCTTGTAGGTGAATGCAAGGCGCTCTGTGATTGGAGGAGATGAGGTACAATGTCAGAATCTTCCCTCCTCGAATCACAGAATGTCTTGCTTTCATTGAAGAGAATATAAGGCTTTTCATGAACGGAGGAGCTCTAATGTGGGTGACCAACAGTGCTCAGTGTACTGAGCATACGTCATTTTGAACTACAAGTCTCAGCACCAGTGCCTAAAGGAGGCTGCTGTCTGAACAAAAGTAAGATATGTGAAAAAAAAAAAAAAAAAAAAAAAAAACTGTAGCAGCCAGAGATGGGGCACACATCAACAGAGCCAACTTATTTGTACTGTGCAAATGCCAAAATCAATGTTGCCCATGCTTCAGCTTTAACAGTTTTAGGAAGTTGATTTTGTTTTTGTCATGTATCCTAGTGCTTGACACATGATGGGGAGTCTTGACACTGCAGTAATTTGTCAGGGAAGTCAATTGTCGAATGTATGAATTAAAGTCAAATTTATTAAAGAAAGTTTTCTCCTTTATGAAAATGAATGCTGACTTTATCTCAAGTACCCCATAACATAAGTAGATATATTGCCAGCAATAAAAGATATTTAATCACCTTTTCTCCATCTTCTAAGGTGCAGGGGATGACATCAGCATCTTCTAATGAGATCCTGGAAATGCTGATGTCCTCCTGTGAGCCGTCAGTTCAGCACAGTGCTGGGAGTGTCTTCCCAGTGAGATGTGGAGTACTCTACTTCCCTCAGATCTCTCCAGAAGGAGGGTGACATCACCCCTATCTATGTACCACCAGGAGAAAGGGTATACTAATTTTTTTCTCTTACATGCGTTTTTTATTCACACCGGAGCAGAGCCTAATTCTGGTGATTTTGAAGCTTTTTAAAAAAAACATTTTACAAGCTTTGTGCAAGGATTTTCTATGTGTATCATGTTTCTGGTGTTTATTTCCTGGGCTGGGCAAGGGGAGGAAAACAGTTCTAGAGGAGGAGTGCAGTTCTTGGAACACAAAAATGCATGTGTAAATAAAAAAGAAAGAAAACTGGCATAGTGTAAAATCATCAAAAGTAGTATAAAGACACACTTTTCACATAGTTTCCATAAGGAACATCTCATCCATCCATTAGTGCTTCATTCAAAGACCAACCTGTAATATCCTGGCTTATGCATTTCGAGGCAGTGCCTCTTCATAAGAGCCAATTCACCAATACTAATATACCCCCTTCATCTCCCTCCATGCATACTTATAAAGACCACTTAGCATATATATATATATATATATATATATATATATATATACAGTGGGGATCGAAAGTTTGGGCACCCCAGCTAAAAATTTGTATTAATGTGCATAAAGAAGCCAAGGAAAGATGGAAAAATCTCCAAAAGGCATCAAATTACAGATTAGACATTCTTATAATATGTCAACAAAAGTTAGATTTTATTTCCATCATTTACACTTTCAAAATAACAGAAAACAAAAAAATGGCATCTGCAAAAGTTTGGGCACCCTGCAGAGTTAATATCTTGTACTGCCCCCTTTGGCAAGTATCACAGCTTGTAAACGCTTTTTGTAGCCAGCCAAGAGTCTTTCAATTCTTGTTTGAGGTATCTTTGCCCATTCTTCCTTACAAAAGTCTTCCAGTTCTTTGAGATTTCTGGGCTGTCTGTCACGCACTGCTCTTTTAAGGTCTATCCATAGATTTTCAATTATGTTGAGGTCAGGAGATTGTGAAGGCCATGGCAAAACCTTCAGTTTACGCCTCTTGATGTAATCTCCTGTGGATTGCGAGGTGTGTTTAGGATTATTAACCATTTGTAGAAGCCATCCTCTCTTTAACTTCAGCTTTTTCACAGATGGCATCAAGTTACCATCCAAAATTTGCTGAAATTTTATTGAATCCATTTTTCATTCTACTCGTGAGATGTTCCCTGTGCCACTGGCTGCAACAGAACCCCAAAGCATGATTGATCCAACCCCTTGCTTAACAGTTGGACAGAGGTTTTTTTTCATTAAATTCTGTGCCCCTTCTTCTCCAAACGTACCTTTGCTCATTCCAGCCAAAAAGTTCAATTTTAACCTCATCGGTCCACAGAACTTGTTTCCAAAATGCATCAGGCTTGTCTACATGTTCATTTGCAAAGTTCAAACGATGATTTTTTGTGATGAGGACGTAGAAGAGGTTTTCTTCTGATGACTCTTCCATGAAGACCATATTTGTACAAGTATCTCTTTATAGTGGAATAGTGTACCACAACTCCAGTGTCTGCCAGATCTTTCTGGAGGGATCGTGCAGTCAAACGTGGGTTTTGAATTGTTTTTCTCACAATCCTGCGAGCTGTTCTGTCTGATATTTTTCTTGGTCTTCCAGATCTTGCTTTAACTTCCACTGTTCCTGATGACTGCCATTTCTTAATTACATTACGAACAGAGGATATTGACATCTGAAAATGCTTTGCTATCTTCTTATAGCCTTCTCCAGCTTTGTGAGCATCAACTATTTTCAGTTTCAGTTTTCTAGACAACTGCTTGGAAGAACCCATGGTGCTGATTGTTGGGGCAAGGTCAGATGAGTCTGGGCGTTTAAAAC